TTCGTTGCTTGTCTCTGCTCGGGACACACACACACACACCCGCGTAGACGTAAACCACACGCGGGGAGAGAAAGAAAGAGAGAAGGGCGGCGAAAAGGGAGTTAGCCGTCGGCCCTGCTCTTCCCGGCGCTGCGCAGCCCCATCATGCCCTGCGGGGTGACTTGCCACGAGCGCAGTTCGCGGCTGTAGTAGTCCCGCGTCAGCGGGTCCCAGAACATGTCCAGCTCAAAGCTGTAGAAGAGGTCGCTCCTGTCGTCGTAGACCCAGTCGTCGGCGCCTTCGATGGTGATGTTGAACTCCTCGGCGGTGAGGTACACCGGACCCTCCGGCTCCCCAAGTATTGGCCGCAACAGGCGATTCACGGGGTTGCCCTTCTCGGCGGCCCCCGTCGATGCGCGCTCCCTGCGCCGGCGCTCCTGCTCGCGCCGCTGCTCGTACTTCTGGTCCGTGCGGGCGCGGAGAGAGTGGGGGTAGGACCACAGGCATAAGGAGGTGATGCAGGCGCAGAAGTTGAAGCAGATGGACGCGATGTAGACCTCAAAGCCCCAGTCGTACTCCACGTGGCACCCCAACGAGGGATCGCGCAACGACTTGCACAACTGTCGCTCGCAGCGTGTGTAGAAGTGAAACAGCACGCAGACCACCACGCCGCACAGCAGCGCCAGCAGTAGCAAACACATCACCACAAAGGAACTGTGCGAGCGGGTGGGGCGGTTCGCTATCCGCAGCGCCACAATCAACCCCAGCATAATACATATAAATTGCACCAGGCCGAGCATCCACATGGAAGTGATATACGCCCGCACAAACGCGTGGGACGCCTCGCAAATGGTCTTTCCCGTAACCCGGTCCCGCAGCACACGCGGATACCACGAGCTCCCGCGTCGCAGGCACAACCCCGCCACGCCGTCAAGGCAGGCGAAGAAGAGCCCTATGGACCTGTAGTTGTGGTCTTTAGCCACCACAAGCCACTCCGTCGATCCCACCCCAATGGCCATGCAAAACACGCAAGGAACAAGTAAGCAAAGAAGAAAAATAACAAAACGATTGAGTGCGTTAATCCTATTATATTTCACTTCCTTGTACAACACAATCTTCTCCACCGCCGCACGGTCGCGCCGCAGCTCACCGTCCAGGTGCATCGTCGTGCTCCCAAGTCGGTTTGGAATATACACCTCTGACGGCACAAGCGAGTGCGGAAGGCTGTGCGTCGAAGACGCATTCCTGCTGTAGCTGTTGGGGCCGCCGGCGCCCTCTACGTACTCTGCAGGCTTGCAGGGCGCCTCATTGTCGCCATGCGACATCCGTGGAGGGCGGTATGACCCTCAAAAAAGAAAAGAAAAAAAAAGGCGGAGATATAACATGTGGCGCGAAACGTGTCCGTAACTCACGCACCACATCACACGTCATATGAGGCCAACAACAACAAAAAAAAAAAACATTTTTATTGAAACAAAAACAAAAAAAAAGAGAGAGTAGTAGGAGAAACTTGTCACCGCCATCCCCCCAGCATTATTCCTCAACACACATTCCCAAGAAGCAAACGGCTAAGAAGTCAAAGGCCTCGCTCACGATCGAACGTGGCAAGAGGCCAGTGGTGGCCAATGTCTGTGCCGCGTGTTCCGTGTACCGCGGCGGAACCCGAATTGTGTTGTGGTCTGTGCAAAGAAGCTGAAGCACCAACGGGCCACCGCCGCGGTCATCCAGCAGGTAAAAAAGAATCTCTGTGGCCTCCGCCCGCTCCTCGGCGCTCATTATGTGCGCCGCCGCCGTCGATCCCGACCGCGAGGCCTCCGTCATCCACGACGACGCACAGCAGAGTGTTTCGTGAAGGAGGTAAAACAAATGTCTGGCAACGGCACGAAGTGGATTAAATGTGACAGGCCCGTCGGGGGCCGAAACCCCGACGGCGACGTCGCCCGAGCCCAGAAGCCAACGAGCCACATCTACGACGCCTCGAAGCGCCTGCAGTAACGGTATAAGAAGTGCAGCGAGGGCCGATGTGGCCTCCGCTGCTGAAACGCCTCCTCCTCCCGCTCCTCCCACGCTTCCTAGGCGGCTATGAATCCAGTCTGGTGAAAGTTGCAGGAGATACTCCGGCACAACACGCCGCACCTCCGCGGCAACACGGCAACTGGTTGCATCCGTTGCCGAGGAAATGAGCACGGCGTTAAAAGGATCGCGCGTGCCGCCTCCACCGGAAGGCAGCGGCAGAGCGCACGCCCCGTGGTCCTGCCGTGATGGAAGCAAACGTGGCCTCCAGAGCGTCGATGGGAAGCCGCGACCCACGGCGGGCGGGGACTCAGTCGGGCACGGGCGCACGCTACCCCATGGCTTTGGAGCCAGTTCGTCCACGTCCTTCCCTTCAGTAGCGGGAAGGCCCTGCGATGAAGAGGGCGCTGCTGCTGTGACGTTGGCGTTTTCACTCACCGCCGTTAACAGGCCGGGTTCATGGGGAAAGAAGCGACCTCGCAGCGCCTCCGCCTCCTCAGTGAGGCCCCTCACGTTGGACTCATGCAGCCTGAACCATTCCCGCTGACGCGACACGCTGGCGTAGATGCGGTAGAGCTGCAACTTCAGCTGCGACGCAAGCGGAGCCCCGTCCGCCCGTAGGGGCGGCGACGGCGCCGCCTCATCGTCCGTGCGCCCGCGCTGCCGCGACGTGCACCGACGCGACGGACGCATCCACACGCCTGGGGGCGGGGGGGGGGGGGGAGGGAGTGAAGCAGAAGATGTCGCAAAGGAAGAAGAAGAGCGGTGGGGGGGGGGGGGAGGAGACGGATTACGGCAGGCACTCCCCACCATAGAGGCGAAGCGGCAGCAAGCGGAGAGAGAAGAGAATAATAATAAAATAAGAAGAAAGAAAGAAAAAAAACATTGAGAAGACCACCGCGAGGTGGGCCTTCATTGCCTATTTTCCCGCACAGGCGGGACGCCACACGTGATGCGAGAGCGGCCCCTAAAAACGCCCTTGCGCCCGCTCAGAGAGCCGCAGGGGGCGCCTGTGCCCCCGCCCTCCTTCCGCACCCACGCGGGGAGCAAAAAAAAAAAAACGCGCCACACCAAAACTAAACCAACAACAACAGTCACCACCACGACAAAAACAAAAAAGAGGGGGGATTTAAACAAGGAGTGGAGGTATGTAAGAAAGAAAAATTCAATAAAGATAAAAGACGAGGCCCATAGAAGAATGGGAAGCATCACACACATTCCCCCACACACCTCCTCCGCCCCAGCAAGACTCGGCATCTCCCCTTTTCTTCCCTCCCCGCTCATCCCTTCATTCAAGCTAGCCGCCCGGTACATCTAAGTTTTGTTTTTTTTTTGTACTTTCGCTTTGCCTGTCGTTTTTATGTTG